AGGAACTAGTGCAAAGGAAGTCAAAGAGGGGGCAGTAGAGAAGGTAGAAGAGTTAGAACCAAAACCAAGAGGGATCAGCATGTGTAATAAGTAGTGTCCAAAGATCTATCAGAGAGACCAGTCCTCCTCAGCCCTCATGCTAAGACCTGGAACCAGCCCTAGTGCAAATGGGTGGGAGCTTCATCACAGGTCATACGAAGGACATCACACAGCGTGAGATTACTCAAAGTTACACTCCCAGGAGATGTTGCAATGGCCACCAGTTTGAATGGCTTTCAAAGGGGATGGGACACATGCCTGGTTGAGCTTATCAGTTGCCACCAATAGTTCTATGTCATCTGTGCTATCGGACGCCATCTGCTTCTGTACAACACCTTCTAGAGAAGGTGGGCAGCAGGATGTTGTTGCCCTGTCATGTCCTGCTGCTGAAATTATGTGGGCAACTGGTGTCCATTGGGTGAACAAAATGCTGGAGTAGATGAATGCTTGTTCTATCCAGAACCGTTCCTCTCACGATCTTTTGCTTCTTTCCTCATTAGGTAAGTTGTGCTGTGGTTTCACAGACTGTTGATGAAAAGGCTCAGTTTCCTTTTGTCCACCGGATGGCCCCATGGGAAGAAACCCAATACCCAGGGATTGTGCGACTGCTCCTCTCTTTTGGATGGACATGGATTGGTCTCTTTGCTCCAGTCAATGACAATGGAGACAGGTTTGTGCGTGCTATTTTGCCCCTGCTAAGCAGTAGTGGAATTTGCATTGCCTTCGTAAGAAGACTAAAGATAAGAAACAATCATGGTGTTGACGAAACGTTTGTATGGGGACAAGTCAATGTGATTGTACTCTACGCAGATGTTCAATACGTGTTTCTTCCAGTTATCAATATGCAAGGAATGCTTGAAGCAAAAGGAACTGGAACAAGAATATGGATCACAACAGCTTTTCCAGATATTGACTTCAACTTGTTTTATGCAGATTATGCTTTCAAGTTCATCCATGGCTCATTGACATTCAAAGTGAATACACAAAAACAGACAAAAAATGCCTACTATCAACCATTTAGCAAAGCTCTGAAACATTTCTGGGATGAGGCCTTCCACTGTTTCTCTTCAACTCATGTATTGCCAAAGAAAAGCTGGAAAACATGCACAGAGAAAGGGAACCTGGAGGAGCTGCCACAGGAGGAGGTGGAGAGGGCCCTTTCCCAAGACAGCTTCCGGACCTACAGCAGTGTCCAAGCTGTGGCTCGTGCATTGCATGCTGCATATTCATCCCGATCCTTGCAGTGGAAGATGGTGGGTGGACGAGAGATGCCAGAACCTCAAAAGCTGAAGCCGTGGCAGGTATTTCATTTTTCTTCTTCAACACCTCTGTTGTGAGCTAGAGTCTTCTCTCCTTGCCGTAGGTTCCAAAAGATGAGACAGTCTGTTTCATGGCTGCTTTGTATAGGCACCTGACAATTCCCAAACAGTGACACTTTTACAGCCCTCTAGCCTCTGCTCATGTTCTGAATGTGTGAATGTTGAACCCAGAGTAGATGCTTCCTCACAGTTCTTCCTTTTCCTTCAAACAGCAGGTTCTACATGCCCTTTTCTTTTCGGTAGTCCAGGCCACCAGTCTGCCTCTTACTTCTTAGGAAACTCTTTTTACAGAATTTGGTGTGTTGGAATGTGTGTCTTACGTCAGAGGGCTGGGCTTGGCCACTGGGCAACTTTGGTCCAACATTGGTGGGTCCAAAAGGGACCTGTCAGCCTTTTGTGGCAAAATGACTGTCCCCAACTCTGGGAGCAGAGGAAATGTGCATCGACCCACAAGATAAACACCGAAGTGAGGAGGGCCAAGTTACTGAAGTGCTCTTGTGGTTGCTAAAGGCTGATTAGTTCCTCTGCCATTCTAGTTTCATGCTCTCCTGAGGGACAGAAAACTTCTGAACATTTCGACAGAGAGACAGTCTCTGGATGAAAATCGTGAGCCAGCACCTGACTTTGATATTGTGAACTGGGTGCTCTTTCCTAATCTTAGTAAAGGAAGGGTGACAGTTGGGAGCATTAAGAGAATGGCGCCCGCTGATGCTGAGCTCTCCATCCAGCCAAATACCATTGTGTGGCCTGCACGCTTCAGTGGGGTAAGAAAACATGGTTACTTCAGTTTGCTGACCTGTCCTGTTCTCATTGTATAGTGCTACTTTATGCAAAATTGTCCTGCAGGCAGCTCCATTCTGCAGAGCAGCAGTCATTGAAGAGACTGTCAAAGGGAGTCTGGCGAGGCATGGCCTATCCCATCTTTTTTATAATTTTACTTAATAATGTGGAATGAAATAAGAAAACACATCAATATGAATATTAAACTACACCAGAGAGAAATGAACATATACGCACAAAGTACAAAAAAGATAGAAGAAAATACAGAAAAAAGCTAGTGCACACCTCCACCTAGATATTCACTGCACTGTAATTCTTCATACATTTCCTTCTTCCATTTTTCTTCTTTTAAAGCCCCCCTCTCTCAGGAGGTTTATTACCCACAATTAAATCTTGGATGAAACAGCTCTTAGCATATGAACCTGTACTAAGCACTGGGCCAGTAACAGGGAGTGCCAATGCTGCTGGTGTAGGAGTCATATGCTGTCCTCTAGTATCCCTGAAAGAGTTGGCCGAAGTGGTGTCTAGCATGCTCCTGCAGAAGTTGGGATATGGGAGACATTCTTGGCTCCAAAACTAAGTAATCTTAGAATCCTGGAATGGTAGTGCTGCAAGCAGCCAGAGGGTCAGACGATTCAACTGCCTGCTCAGCACTGGGCTCCAATACGTTCATGATGTTGAACCACTGGGAAACTTTGACCACTCTTCTATAAAATAAAGTCTCTACTTCAGTGGAACATTGTCAAAGGAATCCAGCCCTATTGATGCATTTCCATGGACATCATCCAAATTAGATCCTTTTCTTTTGTGCTAAATCCCTTTTTTGCCAGATGGTGCCTCATTCCAGGTGTGTTGAGAGCTGTCGCCCTGGATATGCAAAGGAGGTCCAGGAAGGAGAACTACCCTGCTGCTATGCTTGCACTCCATGCCCTGAAGGGACCATCTCCAATCAGCCTGGTGGGTCACTTCAGATGTGGGCATTCCCTTGGGAAACAGGGGAAGAAATCAATGCATCCAATAATCTTTCTGATTACTGTTCGGTACTTCGTTTCATTCCTTTTAACCCCTTTCCTGAAATGTTCATGGTTATGCAAATTAAGAAGGCCTTCCCACTCCACACACAGTAAAAACAGAGTGCGACAGAGACTTTCCCAAATCTCTCCTTTCTCCTGAGAGATGCACACAGATAGCTCTCTGTATACAAGGCCCTTCTTGAACCAGGTGCCTGACGTGGTTCTCTGCTGAGGTGGAGACCATGGGTTGAAAATGCTAATGGAAACACAGGGCCCTCCCCAGAAAACTGTTTCTCCTGCCCATACTACATGAAGGCTGGGTTTCTGCAGCAAGACAAGCAACCCAAGTACCATAGCTCAACATTTTGCCATTATCCGCTTCAGAGATGATCAAGTGGTTTCTATGTGATTGCTGTTTTCATCATCCACACTCAGTCCTCCCACTGGTGGCACATGTCCTGTAAGAATTGCTACTGACATTCCATCCAAAACTGCATTGCTGCCAGACAGCACTGCTTGCTCTTCCTAATCAGTGCACTAGAGAGATGGCTAGAGCAGCTCCTGTAGTTGCCAAACCAATTGCAGGGAGCAGATGGTTCAAGCATATCACACCAATTCTGGAACATTTGAGTTGTTGCCTATCTGCTTCCAGGTCCATTCAAGATGCTATGTTTGACCTATAGATCGGCTTCATGGATTAGGATGAAAATAGAGAAGTGCAAGCAATATGTGCTGTGCTAACATTTTGTCTGAATCCCTCATTTTGGCTTAGTGGACACTGGTCTTCTGTGAAATGACCCACAGTTCCACTTCTGGGCAAATGCATCCCATGTTCCTGGGGCACCTCCCAGGAATGCAGACCCATAAACAGCAGCATTCTTTAGCAGTGAGCATGAAGTCTGTCAGATGCCAAGTCAAGAGGAGAGTACATTAGAAAAGAGATGTTCTATTGGTGTGTCTTTTATGCTACTTCCATAGAGAAGAACTTGCTATCAGCAATATGAGCTGGACTTGGAGCCAGCCTCCTCAGAATCCACCTTTGACACAGGAAATAAACTATCTTCTTACTCCCAGCTCCTTCAGGAGATGGATGAAATTCTTGGGTCAAAAGTTCCTGTTTGTTGAACAAATGTTCTAGTTAAGAGGTCCTGCCTTTTTCTTTGCACATCCTTGGAACTGCTGAGAGAAGGGATGGATTACTATGAAAATGTTTTGGAGTGAAGCTGAACGGTTCCATCAAGCTGTTTGTCTACAGATGATAGACTGAGGGATTTCACAGGTATGCTTTTCATATAGCCTACAACTGCTGAAGTGAGAAGCTCTTGACACTGGGGCTCTGTTCAGTAAGTCCCACTTTAGGAACCTTGCACCTAGGAAAAGGGAAGGATGCCTTGATCTGTTGAGTCCTTTTTGCCTGGTCCAAGAACACAGACTGATCTGCAGCAATGGCCATTAACAACACTGAAGTCACTGTTACCCTTTGTTTTCTTTAGATGCAGAACATTGCACCAAGTGTCCAGTGGATCAGNAGTAAGACCCTCATTAGGAAAGTTTCCCCTGGGAAAAAGGAGAGATGTCTTGATCTGATGAGTCCTTATGACCAGATATGAGAAAACTGACTGATCTACAGCAATGACTATTAGCAATGCAGAAGTCACTCTCTACCTCTGTTTTCTTTAGATGCACACCATTGCACCAAGTGTCCAGAAGATCAGCACCCAAACAAGGCCCGAGATCAATGCGTCCTGAAGATTATAACCTTCTTGTCCTATGGAGAACCTTTGGGGATCATCCTGGCTTCCCTTGCACTGTTCTTGTCTTCAGCCACAGCCTGTGCATTAGGGATTTTTGTGAAATACAAAGAAACACCAGTCGTTAAGGCCAACAATAGGGACCTGTCCTACATTCTCCTCCTCTCTCTCCTGCTCTCCTTTATGTCTGCAATCCTCTTCATTGGCCGCCCAAGGAAAGTGTCCTGCCTCTTCCGACAGACAGCTTTCAGCATCATCTTCTCGGTTGCTGTCTCTTCTGTCCTTGCCAAAACCATCACTGTGGTGCTGGCCTTCCTGGCCACCAAGCCAGGCAACAGTGTGAGAAGGTGGCTGGGAAAAAGCATGGCCAATGGCATTGTTGTTTCCTGTTCCAGCCTTCAAATCCTTATTTGCATCCTCTGGCTAGGCATGGCTCCCCCTTTCCCAGATTCTAACATGCACTCCCAAGCTGAACAGATCATCCTGCAGTGCAATGAAGGGTCTCTCACAATGTTCTACACTGCCCTTGGCTACATGGGTTTCCTGGCTGCCGTCTGTTTCTTGGTGGCTTTCCTGGCCAGGAAGCTTCCTGGGTCCTTCAATGAGGCCAAGCTGATCACCTTCAGCATGCTGGTCTTCTGCAGTGTCTGGGTGTCCTTTGTGCCCTCCTACCTGAGCACCAAGGGCAAGTACATGGTGGCCGTGCAGATCTTCTCCATCTTGGCCTCCATTGCTGGGCTGTTGGGCTGCATCTTCCTTCCCAAGTGTTACATTGTTGTATTCCGGCCTGAACTGAACACAAAGGAGCACCTTGTGATGAAAACCAAAGATGGCA